GTTTGGGGTCTTGGACCTGATCCGCTCCCCCCCACCCACCCACCAGAGACCTGCCTTCCCTCGGCATCACCCTGGCTGGGCACCAGAAGAAGCTGCTGTACAACATCCAGCTCCTCCAGCAGCATCTAAGGCAGCCTGACTCAGTGGAGGTGTGAATGTGGCCTGCCTGGGCGAGAAGCTGTGCACTGACAAAAGCCCAGGACCTCACTGGATGTGGGTCCAAGGAGAGATGTGTGAGATGTGAGCAAGGCTCCGTGTCTACCTCCATGCCTGCCACACTCACCCTGGCCCTCTGGAAATGGAAACTGTATTCCCCAGTCCTCCACCCCTCCACCAGCCTACCCCACATTAAAGGGAAAGAAGGGAATTTGCAAGTTCAGGTGTGTCCAGGCTTCAGTCTGCAAGGAGGGGATAGGGAGGCACTGGAGGAGGGGCAAAGATGCAGGCAGGGTGGGCAGAACACACAGAAATGCAAAAGGGGCAGGGCAAAGACAAGGAAATGGCTTTACTGAAAGGTGGAAGGTACAAGACTCAGGCCAGCTTCCCCATCCCTGGGGTGGTACCCGTCTCCCTCCCTCACACTCCTTTCCACAAGCCTGGCTGGAGCACCCTGGGAAAGAATCCTTCCCACTTATGACACAGGGGGTTGAGACAGGTGCTTGAGAAGGCAAGCCTGTCTTTAAAGTGCTCTGATGTGCAGTGGGACTTCCATACAAGAGTGAGGAATGCTTGAGGCAGGAAGGACCGCAGACTCTGTTTCCTTTTACCCCATCTGAGGGAGTTCTGAAGACCTGGAGCAAGTATTTCCAGCGTGCATTCCTTGACGTTCATGCCACTCCCCCTTTCCTTCCTGGGCCTGGGAAATGAGACCTAGGTTTTTGTTGACTTTTTGTTCTGTTTTTGTTTGGACTTGATGCTTCAAGAACTAGTGAGCATTCAGATCTGGTATTCCCAACCTTCCCCGTCTTCCAAGCCCCTGTTGATCATGCCCCGCAGGTCCCTCCGGAGGGTTCCTTGCCGAAGCCTTTCCCAGTTGGTGCTGCTACGGGAGGTGCTACGAGACACTGAGGGTGAAGGAAAGGACAGGTAGGGCCCTAGCAGGTGGCCCATGTCTAATTTTTCCTCTGGGTGTTTGTCCCGGTCCTCAGAGCAGGGGGTGTCCTGTGGTTGGAAGGCCTGTGCATAGCGCCGGATTCGATGGCGGTTGAGGTCCTGCCTGTCTTCCACCCTGTAGAGTAGAAGAAGACTTGAGAAGGAAGGAATTGCGGAGCAGAATCAAGACCAATTCTTGTGTCCTATCCACTCCCAACACATCTTTATAAGCTTTTCTCTTTCTCTGCATGTGGTGTGGGCTTGGGGAATAGCAGGCTCAGGAAAAAGGCTGGTCCACCAGCTCTGAGCACACTTCGAGGGGCTCAAGCTCATAAACGGGTTGCTTCCTCAGTACCTGCAGCCCAGTCAATGAACTTGGGGCCTAGGGAGTACATACATAGACTTTCACAGGATCCCTGGGAGCAGGGAGTTGTCCAAGCAAAGGGCCACTATGCCAAGGTGGGTGTTCAAGAACTGCCTATACCAGTACCATTGCTTACCGCAGGAACCAGCGGTCCCCCAGCCCATATTCACGCCCACAGATCCCGGAACGAGGCCACAGGCAGCGAGGTAGCTTCCGCTCCAGCATCACAGTGGCAGCAACTACCTGCGTGTGGGCACAGAAGGGGACATTAGACAGGAGAATGGGTGCAAACTAAGAAGAGGGTGGGTCAGAGGGCAGTTTAGGAACAGCAAGGAAATTCAGGAGCTCTTGGCTTCCTGATGGTAAAGAGCAACACTGATGTGGAACAGTGGGGTGAAGTTTTTTCCATGGGAGAGAGTTAATGAGACTCCAGCCCCACAGTTTTCTACCAGTGACAAAGCTAGGCAGGATAGGGCTGGGGTTCAGGTGGGATGCAGGAGACCCTCCTGGGAAGTAGGGGAGGCCTTGCTCCAAGGTGACAGGAAGAAAGTAGAGTAACTAGGAAGGGACTCAAATGATCTCAGAATATTTTTAACCTACATAAAAACTATCTGTAAGTGTAAACATCCTATGCAGAAAACTAATGCTAATATAGTTTCATGGAGAAAATACTACACTGTGAAAATTCCTTTCAGGTGAGGTTTTATTCTTTGTTCTTCTATACAGCATCGTTAAATGCCTTCCGATGTTTGGAATTTCCATTTTTTATTTTACTGACGTTACATTTGTTGAGATAAATTCTTTTCTAGGTATATTTTAAAATGTAGGTTTGATTCATCTAATTGTCTATCATGCCCATCATGATGATCTGACTGAAGTTAGTTTCTGCTAGTATCAGAAGTTTTTATGGCAACACTTCTAATTTTTCTGGGTCAAATTTTGGGGACTTAAATATTACTAAGATGATCTGATGACGATCTGATGACTTAGCAAAATTTACTGACACGGTTTCAGCCAACATTAACTTTATTTTTATTGATTATTCTATAAAGTACTAAGGTTTTATCTTATTATTTATTTACTTCATTTTTGTGGTTCTGGTGATTAAACACAGGGCCTTTACACTGAGCTACAACTTCAATTTTTTTTTATTTTTTGAGAGTTTCTTACTATGTTGCCTAGGCTGTTCTCAAACTTGTGATCCTCTTGCTTCAGCCTCCTGAGTAGTCAGACTGAGATTTTTTCATCCCTATGAGGGTTCCTTTCAGAGATTCCAGTAATGCTTGGTGGTATTGCTACCCCAATTCTTCTGCACACTGGCATAATTTTCAATATCATGGGGTAAATATCAGATACATGTAGGGTCAAAATGTCCTGCTTCTATCCGAGCATGGCCAGTTATGGGAGAGAAAGGGGAAAACCGCACTAACCCAGCTTCCAGGCTCTCACCTGGGCTCTCCAGACCTCATCGCCCTCATGTGCCACTCGCCAGTGGGTGTCGCCCATCATGGCGATGAGGAGGTTGAGCATGAGCAGGGCGGCGATGATGGCAAAGGCAGCGTAGGTGATGCTGTACATGAAGGGCAGATCCACGTCGTAGTTGGCTGGGCCGTCGATGATGGTGAGGAACAGCTCAAAGGTGCTGAACAGTGCCATGCGGTAATCATAGAAATGGCCCAGCTCATCAGGGTCCTCTGTCTGGAAGATGATATAGAAGGCTGCTCCACCCAAGAGGGTGAGAGTTACCATGACAACTGCATCATGACTACCACAGCCAGCACTTTGCTCCCTATTTCTAGCCCACTCCCCTCTTCTCCAGTATCAGCAACCGAGCCCCACAACACTTCACATTTTGAGTTCTTATGTTCCCTTAAAGTCATCCTCTGAAACCAAGAGCCACCTCCCCCTAATGCCCTTGTTTTCCCTCACCCCTGAGGAATGTAACGTCCCTTAGGCAGACCTTGCACAACCTCCTCTGATCTCTGCCTCCCTTCCTCCTTCCCTCCCTTCTCCAAGTTTGGCCAGAGGCATTCTCCTCCTACCACCTCTCCCTCCATGGCCCCCATGATGAACAGGTGATTTACCTGAAGCAAAACCCAGGATGACGACAGCCATCAGCCAGCAGAATCTCATAAGGTCACCAAAGATCATCTAGAGGGAAGTGGAGTCAGAGAGAACATCCTGGGAAATTGCCCCATCCAAAGGTAGCAGATGTAACCCTAATAAGTTGAACAGCTCCACCTCCTAGGTCAAGGGTTAGCAAAGTGTGGCCTGCAGGCCAAATCTACTGGTCTGTTTTGGCATAGCCCATGAACTAAGAATAGGTCTAACATTTTAAAAAGATTGTTTTAGAGAAAGAAAAGAAAAATAATACACAACAAAGACTATGTGTGGCTCATAAAGTCTGAAATATCCATTATGAGGCTCTTTCAAGAAGGGTTTGCCAGCACTTGGTCTGGGATCTTTCTCTAGGAAGTGTGGGGAGAGGCACTGACCTTCTGGATCATGATGGTAAAGGGGCCCAGCATCTGGAATCCTCGGGCAAAATACATGACGTTGCACCAGCCCAGCACCAGGGCAAAGGACATAGGCACTACCTCTCCATCTGCATTGGTGAGCCGCATCACCATGGTCACCAGCACCATGAAGGCATAGGTGACGCTGGGGGGAGCAGGACAAGGTGTGATGATAGGAAGACTGGGATTATCCTGAGGACAGGACAGCAAGAGTGTAACTGGGACAGTTCCCATACATTCAGAGTCAGCCGTCACACACTCAATACCAGGGTCACGCGCATCACTGGAAAAGGACCTATGGAATTAAGGTTCTTGCTTGGGACCTTGGATTTCATGGGCCGCCATGACTGAGAGGAATGTGACTCACATAATGACATGGAATGGCCCCCCAAGGATGGTGTGTCCAAAGAAGCGAATGACTCCCAACCTGAAGATGTCTGGAATCTGGAGAGGAGTCAGGGAGACAAAAAGGCACCCGTGGACCAGAATGCGGATGGGATGCCTGGAGCTATCAGCCTCCCTTCAATCCCATCTGCACCTTACCTCTACCAGCAGGATGATCATAGCCCCAATGACGCTCACCAGTTCCCCCACCAGCCGCAGGTCATCCTGGGGGGTCACATAGGCCTCCTACAGGGAATTAGGTGGTCAAAGCACCCAGGGCTTCATGCACCCACCCTGCCTGCCCCAGTGCTTAGGGACAGTAGTGTTGTCAGATTCTTTCTAACCTATGGGGTCCCACTAACGAGGTCCCATCTGTCTCAAAGCCCACTCCTAGATGAAGTGAGTGCATTTCTGTGTGCATTTATTATACCCATGCATCAGAGACCTGAGTGATGGGGAAGACTCTGTGTAAGGACAAGAGAGTGGGGCCAGACTGAGAAAAGGCAAGAAGCAGTGTCCTGACCTGCCCATCTGCTACTAGTAGGGCATTACCTGAAGGAGCTTCTGCTGGAGGAGTGTGTTGTCCCGAGGGCTGGTACTGTTCGTAGTCCTGGGCTTGAGGGGGCGGTAGACGCAGCACACAGTGAAGCAGATGATGTAGAGCAAGTAGACGGCACCCAGCACGCAGAAGTAGGGCCGCCCATACCTCTTCCACTTGAAGCTCACCAGCTCCTTCACTGGCGTCTGGTCCAGGATCTGACGAGCCTGCAGCACAAAGCATAGGTCAGGCAGCCCCTGCACGCTGGCATTCTGGCCAGCATTTCTGCTGTGACAACCCCTTACCTCCCGCTTCTTGGTTGTGACAATGAGTTCCAGCAGGGATTGCTCATCCCCGGAAGAGTCGATCTCCGTGAGGTCATAGAGAGTGGAGGTCAGAGGCCCATATGTCCATTGGACGTGCTTCCGTTTCTGCATCATGTGCTGGAACATCTGAGGGAGGTGGAGATGGTCAGGTGTCACAGACAGAGAGCCTGTGTCAGAGGGTGGAAGGGTCATGTGTTCAGGGAACAACAGCCTTAGAGAGGCTGGTGGCCATCTGTTAATGACCACAGCGTTTGGAGGGCAGAAGAACTCATATTTACACTGACAACTAGGTTCATCTTGCTCTGCCATGACTCCCTGCAGAGCTTGGGCAGGGAGATGAGAGGGGTTGAAGGGCTGCTACTGTGCGGAGGGCAGGTGGTCCTGGGTATTACAGACATTCCCAGCAGTGATGTAGACAGTATAAGCCTCCAACACTTAGCTCAGAGAAAATGGACAGAAAGGGGACTAGGATGAGGTGAGAGAGTGAGAGGGACGTCCCAGGCTGGTCTGAGAGTGGGGTGTGTGATCACGCCTATTTCCTTCTAGGGCCAGCGGGGTGGGCCGAGCATCCTTACGGAGACTCGTCAGGGCTGGGGGAGCCCCTCACCACAGTGTTGCCCTCCACTCCAGCCAGCTTGAAGGGGGTGAGGCCCTGGTGGTTGGGCACGAACTCCAGGCATTGCAGGTGGTCCCCTCTGTCATAGGACAGCAGCAGGTTGTACATCTGGCAGGCGAAGGTTTTGTTGGGCTGCAGGATGAGGATGTGCAGCACCGTGTTTCCTGGGGAGGACAGGCTCTCCTGTGGTCACAGGCCTACTGTCCCTGATGGCCCCATTCCCACCTGGGATGGCCTGTTCCCTCCTCCCCCCATAGCCTGTTCAGTTTCCCCGTATCCATCTCCATCCAGTTCCTACCCAGTGAGTCCTGGGCCCGGATGTCGGCTCCATGCTCTATGAGCAGCCGCACGATCTCCTCATTGCCTACACAGGCTGCAAAGGACAGAGGATGCTCCCCTGGGAATACAGCAGTATCAGAGGATGCAGCCAGTGGAGTCACAGGATGAGAAAGGCAGTGTCCCCAGGTGACTGCCTGCTCCTCCCACACCCAGGCTGGGGGTTGGGGACCCTTGTTCAGCAGAACCAGAGGAAAGGTCAGTGCAGAGCATGTGTGTGTGTGGGGGGGCATGGTCTCTGCCCTTCAGTTCTGCAAAGGGCTGCTCCATTTGTCGGACAGCACAACGTAGCCCACCCTCTCTTTGTGCCATCTGCTCTCCTCTTTCCTTTCCTTCAGCCTGGTTCTGAAGCTCACCATAGTAGATCAGGTTGTGGGAACTGTGTTGGAAGGCAAGGCCTGTAGCCCTGGCAGAGACACTGGCCCCGCGAGTGAGCAGGGCATGCACCAGGTTCACATTCTGGTTCATGACAGCGACGTGCAGGGCAGTCTGACCTGGACAGAGATTGCTGTCAGTCCTAGGTTTGTCCCCAGGACTTTGAAGGGATCCTTCCCATTTGTATCCAGACTCTTCTTCCCTTGGGTGTCTTTCAGTGGAAGACAGGAGCCTATGAGTATTCAGGGTTCCTGGGGGTCCAGCTCCCTGCACCCACCCTTCCACTCCTTCTGTAGTTCAGACACCAGGTGCTCTCGTGATGTGCAGTCAGGATTGTCAAGGAGCTAGGCAGACTGCTGGAGAATGCTCAAGTGTACGCTCTGGTTTTTCCAAATTATCCACTGTTCATACTGCTGAGAATACATAGTAAACTATTCTTTTCTTTGTTCTAGGATTCTGGACCCTCACCTTCATACAGTTCAGATGTCATAGGTTCAAAGACCAGCTCTGGAGCTGCCTCCATCAGCACCATGGCCACCTCCAAATTGTCATAAAGAGCCGCTACATGCAGCACTGTCTCCCCCACGGCTCCTGGTATTACAGAGAAAAATCATATGCTTACTCTGAGGCAAGGAAAGGGGGCCACATGGACTCATGGGAGGACCCTGTGTGAGACTGACCCAGGAGATGGGGCTGAGGCTCTGTTCCTTACCTCTTTGGTGCACATCACAGGCTCCATACTTGAGCAGCTTGCTTAAAGCGTGGACATCATTTTCTTTGGCAGCTAGAAGGAGAGGAGACTCCCAGATCCTACCAGGGAATGTGGGGAGAGAGGTGTGACAGTGAGCATGCCCAGCTGTGGAACAAAGTCATGACCTTGGACTTTGAGACAGGTGCTCCAAGGTCCCTGACCAAGGCAGGGAGCACAGAATAGTACTAAAGTCACCTGATCTCAGCTCTTCCTGACTAGTCAGTTAGCTCAAATGAACTTTTTGTCCACTTTTTTGAGTTCTAAGTGGATTGCTGTTCTGCCTGAGTACTGGGACTGAATATGCTACATGGGCAAATCAGATGAGGAAGAATGACTTTATTTAAGTATGCATTCACCTCCTGACCTGTTTACCGTCGGCAAGTGTCCTGAGATTGTCTTCTAGGATAAGCCTTATTTTGCATGGACAAAGAGTGTGAGAGTTCCTCCAGCATACTTGTGGAGGAAGTCAACATGCAAGGGCCAGCAGGTTTCCCCCTATTGCTCTGTCTACTCAACCTTCTGGCCTGAGTACTTTGATTCTAGCACTTTACTCCTCCTCAGGACTACAGCACGTTTAGGGTTCAACCCAAGTGCAACTGTAAAAAGCCTCCTCGCTGCAGCAGCTGTATTTTTTGGTCTCTCTCTCTCCTCCCCCACCCTTCCTGTCCCTCCTGTCCTTGTCTCTTCTCACATCATAGTTCCTACAGTCTTCCATCAGCATTTGGTGAGCATTTATAAGAAAAGTCAATTCTCAGGCCCACCACTTGACCTGGAAAATTAAACTGCAGTTCAAGAAAAACCTCAGCTGATTCTTTTGCATATTAAAGTCAGAGAGGCATCACTCAAGTTGGTAGCTGAAATATGGTCCCTGCATGGAAGCATTTGCAGTGATAAATCTGAGGCAAGCTCAGGAATTTCCATTTTCATCAGCAAACATTACAGCTCAGGAAGTAGTGTTCTCCATCACTCTCAGACCTGCCATCTACAGGGCTTAAGTGTCCCTTTAGCCCCACTATTAGCACCTGTGAAGATACACACTGCAATAATGACAGAGAAAAATGAGAGAAACTAGAGAATCCCATTTGCCAGATTAACTCATTGAATTTCACCTGGATCTGAATGTTACCATTCTTTCTTTTCGCTAGCTTACAAAACTTAGATTTGTAGGTTCTGTTTCTTTTTCCTGGTCCCTCACCTTTTCCTATTAACCACTTTCACTTGTTTCAGGCAAAAATCATCTCTAACTCCCCAGATCAACTCTCTAGTCTTATTCCGGCAATGCACTAGCCATCTCTTATAAAGTCAGAACTTGGCCCAACTAAGGCACATGCATCTTTTTTGTTCCATTTTCCCTGTTGGCCTGGAGCTATCTGGTCTTTCTGTGAGAGCAAATATAAAAACCCTATTTATCCATTGACGGCCAATTAGGTGACACAAAAATGACATTACAGGAACTGAAGTGCTGACAGTGGCAAGAAATCTAGTGTAAGGCTGTGGGTAGAGAGGAAATGTGGCTCATACTGCTCTCTGACCACAGACCCACTTGGCCCAGCAGGCCCCAGAGGTTACCTCCAGGCCCTGTGTACTCAGTAGCTAAACTTTTGTCTCCATTCATTCCCCTCCTTTTTGTCCCTACAATACCCATGAATGCATGTGTTCACTCTCCAGCCCGACATTAGCGAAAAATCCTCCTACCACTCTCCCTGCACCCTGTCTCCACCTAATCCATGCTTGGTACTACCGCAGAAACTTTTCAAACTGGGAAATGCCATCAGAGCTCGCAAAAGTCCAATGGCTCCTTCAGCGCTCAAGGGGCAGGAACATAGAGTCCTTCAAGGTCTTTGTGCAACTCTTCTCCCACCCTCTGCTGCTCCCACTCACTCCTCACTCTCAGCATTTTGTTCTCCCCACGTCTCAGCACCATGGAGCACACAGTTCTCCCTGTGCCTGCACCCACAAGGCTCCTTCTCCCTCCATCAACTCCCCTGGCCAGCATTGTTCATTGTCTGCTCTGCCCTCCCCTTGCAGGGAAAATGCCTAGCGTGCAGTGACTACTCACTAGGCCTAGCTGTAGAATGGATGAATCAGTAGTGGTGCCAACAGGTGGTTTGGCTTTACTGCCCCTCCTTATTATCTCCAGCAGCCACCCCTAAGCCAGCCTTAAGGAAACGTATAATCTAAGTGAAAAACAGTATGCTCGGTATGCAAGCCCAGCAGCAAAACAAGTTTTCTGCACCGTCTTCACTCTAACCATTTGACCAAAGCCTCCTCTACAGATACGCTTCCCTTCCCCACCCTCATACATGCACACACACACATCCCCAGGATGTTTTCCACTGTCCTTTGACCTTACTTTTATTCCAGTATCTTGCACTGTGTGTTGTAATCAGTATCTGTCTCTCTCCCTGCACTATGGGTCCATAGATTTCCCTTTAGGTTTCTGCACATCTGTGATGCTTGCAAATATCCTCCACAAGCCTCTGAGCTCCTTTGCTCACCTCTACCACTATCCTACTAGGCCTCGGGAAGACCTAGTGTTGCTTGATTTGCCACGTAAAGATACAAGATACTCAATTAAATTTGAATCTAGTATACACTGCTTTAACTATATAGGTGTGTGTGTGTGTGTGTGTGTGTGTGTGTGTGTGTGTGTGTGTTGGAACATGCTTGCTTATAACAACAAATTACTTATCTGTAGTTCAAATTGAAACAGGTATATTGTATTCTACCTGGAAATCGAGTAGACCATATTCTAGTTGAAGAAACAGCTTATAAACCAACGCTGAAAGGTTTGTAGTTGCAAAGTCAAAAATCCAGTGGAGGAGGGTGCCACTATGGGATGGAGTCTGATGGATTATATTAGGAAACCATTACTTGCAATAACATCAGAGAGCCACAAGGGGACAGAAGAGAAATCTCTAACTGAAGTTATTGGCAGTAAGAAGACAGACCCCCAATCACTGGGCTTTGTAATAGAGGAACAAAGAGCACCAGAGTCTTGCAGATTCTCTGGTAGCAGCTCATCACAGGAAATCAGATCACAACTGTGGGATGGGATAAGCCACTGGCTCCTAGAGGGTAGAGGAAAAAACAGCAAAATATCTTTCCCAGAACAGCTTCCTATCACAGAGAATTATCCTGCCCAAGATGTCAATCATGCCAAGGTGCAGACATTCTAAATTAGAGATGCAATTATTAAAAATATATTAAATACATATTCTTGACACGAAGAAGAATTAGAAATTCTCTATACATAGGAAAAGTTTTTAACATTACCACACACAACTAAACTAAGGAAGAAACAAAGTATTGAAGCCATTTAAGCTCCTACTGATTAGGTAGCAAAAAAGACACTGTAGAGCAAATTTGAGATTATAACAAGATGAATGTGATATTTTCAGGTCTAGAATGTTTTGTTCTTCTGGGTAATTATAACTTGAACAGCATAGTTCATTGTGGGTCTGGTGGAAACTGAACTGTAGGGTTTCTGACACAAAAGCTAGTGTGTGTATTGTTGAGTAAAGAAATCAATGATTACTCACTCAGGGCCGCCTCCAGGCAACCAAGAGAGGATCTTTTTCTATCCTCCTCTCCATCCCCTGCCTGCATCCCACCACCATTTGTTCCTTGTTCTCATGCACAGTGTGCCTGCATTTGCCATAAACAAGAGTCAACTTTTCTTTTAGGTACTGGAAAGTAAGAGAGGACACAGTCTTGAGAAAAGCTCAAGTCCAAAGATTAGGACTCCAAAGCCCCTGGAAACGAGGTCTACACTGCTCATCTGTTCACATAACAGAAGGAGACAGAAGCCTGGAGCTTTGAAATGATTTATCTAAGGAAGTCAGAGGCAGAGTTGGAATGAGGGGCCCATTAGCTATGTCTCTGTCCCCGTTCTCCATGCTAATCAGAGTTGGAAGAGAACAAAGAAAGGAACCACGTGGACACACATGGGTGCCATTGGTGTCTCTGCAGGCACCGCCTCAGAAAAGGGTGCCCACTGGGTGAGATTGGGAGTGGGGCACAATATGGAGGACATGCAGGCATGGTCTGGTAAAGTCAGTCCTGTTAGGAGGAAGTTGATGGCCCCTCTAGCTCCTGGCATTATTCTAGTTGCCTTTTTACTGCTATTTTTTAACCACAATAATCCCATTTGTCAAATGTACTTTCAGTTTCCAGAGCAACACCTCAATCACCATTCAGTTCTGCTTTCTACAGCCTCCTAACACAAGCCGGGTAATTCTGATTTTCAGAAAAGGAAACTGAGGTGACATAGCCAAACTATTGCCAGAAGATCACACAGGGTTAAAAGGCAGAAGCTTTGGCCAAGAACATAGCCTCAGGCTCTTACCACTAAATTATGTGGTTCTTCTAGTTTTATGACTCCTCCTGACTTTTCTTAGGAGGTTGGGGGCAAGTTTGGAGCAGTGACCGCAGGTGAAGGTAAAATCAGTCAAATGAGGGAGATGACATCCACTAGGGACCTATAGGCAACCTTCCTCAAGTCTGGGCTCCTGGCAGTGGGATGAGGAAGCCAGAACCAGGGAAAGCAGCTGGTTAGAGAGTTGGAGCAGGGCCATCCTCTAACTATGCTAACTCCTTTATGCATGTAAGTGTAGACACATATGTGTGCATGTGTTTACTGAAGCAGGACTACAGAGTACACAGGAGAATCCCATAGCTTAGTTTTCCCAGACCCTTCTACCACAGGTATTCATATAGCTACTTACATAAAAGAAACACAAAATATAAATAAATTACAGAGTACAGTGAAGGAGAGATGATAATATATATATGTGTGTGTGTGTGTGTGTGTGTGTGTGTGTGTGTGTGTGTGTGTGTGTATACATATATTTAAATTCCCATGGACAAATATAACTATTATGCATTGCAAACATACACTGAAAAAGGGAAAATCCATAGCTAAGCCTCCAGCATACCCCTGGTTTCCTCCTGGAGAGAGACAGTGCTAGCACAGAGGGGTGGGCAGTCAGAATGGACAACCTCTGTGAAGCTCCAACATACCCAATCCTGGCTGAAATCAGATACTGAAGTTTCCTTCTCTACTCTCTTCATGCTTGTCTGTACTTTCTGTGGCCCTTACCACACTCACCTTTAATCTACACACAGTCACCACACCTACAAATGAGGGGACGGTTCCAGGACACCAGAGCCCTCCTGTGCTAACATTACTTCTCTACAGTGGCATGGCATTTTCATATCATGTATGTACATCCTTCTGTATACTTTAGAACATCTCCAAGTGACTTTTAATACTCAACACAATGTCAGTGCTACATAAATAATTGTTACCCCGTATTATCCATGGAAATAATTATAAGGAAAAATGTGTATACAGATGCAACTGTTATGGGCTTAAATGGGTAGCACATGTCCATAATAATAATAATGAATTTTTTTTGAGTAGTTCATCTCTGAGGTTGGTTAAACATGCAGAAGCAGAGGGCTACCTATAAGTGCAAACCGGTCTGTTTTGGCTATCAGAACGCAGGCTTCTTGAGAGCAGGAAATGTTATATTCTTTTCCACAACCCCAATGGAGCACATTATGCTCAATAAACATTTCAGGCATTGAATATCAGGAAATGAGAAAGCTCAAGCCAGAGAGAGGCGATTTAGAAGTGGGAGAAAGTGGAGAGTTCAGATTGGACCCAACAATGTGGATTTAAGGAGGGGCTACATGATTCAGACCAGGGAAATTTGAGTCCCCAGTCATCCTGCAAAGACCTCAAAGCCTTCCCCTCTCCCTGGCCATCTTCTGCGCCAAGGAATCCACTGACTCCATGGAGAGGTCCCATCTGTGTCCCTTGTCAGGCCTTCTGACTCCCCTCTTAACTCTCTCCAGGTCTCTCACCTGCCTCATTTATGTGGCGATAACAAGAGCCATCTCCATCTGCCTGGTCTGTTTAGGCTAGGTTGGTAATGGTAGCTAGTGCTGAGTTCTCAGTATCTTGTGTGTTCTTGTCTCTCATCAGCTCACCTTCACCTTTCCATATTGTTCTTACTGATGTAGTTGTCCCATGTGTATCTAGAGAGTTGGCTGCATAGACTGGGAGATGCCCTTTCCAGGCAATTGCAGCTCATTCTGGGAAGAACTCACCCTAAGAAGAGCCAAAGCTGTGGATTTTTGGTGTCCAGAGAGAAGAGGACCAAAAAAGTAGAAGGCAAAGGGAAGGGAAGATCAGGGAATGGAAGGGAGGTCCCCTAACTGGTGACATCAAGTCTTCCTGGCTCAGAGCTGCAGAGGCCCACCAGACAGTCTTAAAATGAATTGGGGCAGACAGTCCAACAGCCTATTCTCAGCCAGGCTGTCTTCCAGGGCCTTAGTCTTCCGCTGTGTCCTCACCTTACAGCAGGGGCACACAACAAACCTCACCTCCACCTTCAAGCCCCAGGCCTTTCTGTGCTTGTGTCTGGTGCCCCCAGCCTCAGGGTTCTTGGAGTGGGAAGGGGATGAGTAGAACCAGTGAGGACCTATTCTTCAACACAATGCCATTCTGTTGCCCTAAAACGTCAGCAGCCAGACATGTGCCCAGCCCCCCAGTCTCCCAGGCCTAGGAGGAGAGAGGTGGGTGGCTGGATGAGAGACAGGAAGACACAGCTCAATGAAGGGGCATATGCCCAGCCCATAATCCTTGAGCAAAAGAGGAAGAGACCCCTTCTGGTGAGACTGAGGTGGCCCCTGCTTTTAGAGATGGAGAACAACTCTAAGATACAAAAACTTCAGGCTTTCCCATGTGAATAGATGTATTATCTCCCTCCTTTGGAGCTCGTGGAAAGCCCCCAAAGTTAGCAGTTCTTCTAGCTAACTACGAACTGGATGAAAAAATCCATTAGAGACACTGGTGTGGAGAACACATATAGAGTGTCCAGATTCCATAGATTTCTCTTTCCTCTCCTGCCCCCAAGTTCAACTCTAAGCTCCCAAGTTCAACTCTAAGCTGCCATGGTGGCTGGGTGTCAAATGAGTTTAGGGATGTTTTCAGGGCTCCTAAGCCAGAAGTCAGCTTTCCTTAGGGACTCTCACATCACCTATCTTGAATGAGAGCAGTCCTGGAGTTTGTCTGGTTTGGGGGCCAAGTACCCATGCCACCCACCCCACCATGGAGAGAAACATTGCAAGACTGGTTCTGAGCTCCTTTGATCTTCACAACACTTCCCAAATTCCCCTGACAGTGCCGGAATATAGTGAGGAGTTTGCCACGGTCTGATTGAGATAAATACCCAGGAACTAACTCTATTTTCACATTCTAATTTTGTAGCTGTGTTCTCAGCTCCCTCTCTGCTGATTTCATCCCATCACTCCCTCATTCGTCCATGCATGTTTCTGTGGAGAGACTGTTATGGAGACACAGAGCAGAGGTAGGGGAGACATTGTCCTAATCTGCTTGCACCATTTGGGTGCAGAGGCCATGATACCACAATCTTTATGAGGCCCAGCAAGGTGCCTGGCCATTAGGATGGTACACAGAAGTTTCCAGAGTTGAACTGACTCTCTAAGATAATAAGCACCTGTGCCAAGCACCCCCTCCTTTCCCACTTGGTGTCCTGCAGGCCAAGACTCCTGAGATACGGGGCTCCCAAGGAGCCTCTAGGCTGGGAGCTCAGCCAGGTGTACCAAGCAAAGACGGGAAGCAAGTGGGGGTGTTGCAAGCCTGGACAAGGGGCGGGAGCAGAGGTGAGCCTTACCTCTTCTGCTGCAGCAGATTCAGCTCATCTCGGCTTTGAGCCCAGGAATCCTGTCTGTGAAACAATCTGCAGAACTTGTTCCATAGGCAGAGAATTAACCCTTTCTCCTTGGGCAAGGACAACCCCATGGAGTGGAAGGTGGACACCTTGGTGGGCTGAGGCTGAGGCCCGACCCCCTCTGGGCTCGGCCTTGGGACCACATCAGTGCCCCCAACAGCCGGCCTGCCCTCTCCCTGTACAGGTCCCGTCTCCTGTTTCTCCTGGGAGGGCTTCCAGCCAGCCGACCAGCAGTCTGCTAAGGGCTCGTGTGAGTGTGTTCCACTTAGCAGAGCTGGGAATCACTGGGCTTGTGGGCAGGAGCTCCTGCTGGGAGTGAGCAGGAACTGTACAGACACTCCCTCCTCCCAAATTACCTGAGATTTAAAGAGACAGGCCTGAAGTCCTGCCCACCAGGGGCCCTGGCTGCTGTTCCACTGCTCTCTTCTCCCTGGGAGTCTCTCCCTGCCCCCAGGCCAGTCACAGCAGGGGAGGCCTTCAAAAAGATTAGAGAGCTCTCCGCTGGACTCTGGGACACGTGCTGACCCTCCCTGTGAAGGCCTGGACAGGTCAGGCTCGCCTGAGAAGCTCAAGACAATGAGGTAGAGAGGGAGGAGGAGGGCAGGCCATTTCCAGGAATTGAGGAGACCCAAGAGAACCTTGAGTCTCCCCTTGGCTTCCTTCTGCTTCTTCTCTGTGCCCCTTCCACTCCTGTCCCAAAGACTTAGGTTTCCTTGACTCTTGCCATTCGGGCTCTTGCCTGGCCTTGGATAGATGTATAAATAGCAAAGATTCCTAATTCTCACTAACTTCAAGTTAGAAAACTGTTTCTCTAAATGGCCAGTCAGTCAATATTTTAGGATCTGTAAGCCACATGCAGGGTCTGATGTAGGTTCCTTCTTTTTTTTTTTTTTTTTTTTTTTTTTTTTTTTTTGTTCTCTGGCCCCCATAATGATGCATCCTTAGCTCATCAGCCAGGGGAAAAAGATCCAGCTGTGGGTGGATCCTGCTCGGAAGCCCTCCCCAGTCCCATTCTTAGGGTGGCTGGCTTGCCAGAGAAAATATACAAGGCTCAGACAAGTCTGAGTTTCAGGTGAACAACAAAAAACTTTTATTTATTTGTTGTTTTGGATATAAATGTGCCCAGATTTTGCAATTATGGACCAGGCACCTTCCAATGGAAGGCAGGTCTATTCATAGCTACTACTGCTTGCCCCTGTATCTCAGTGTCCCCATATAAACTCACAGCGGACCTGTGAGGCAGCTATTACCCAATTTTATCCATGGAATAACTAAAACAGTGTGGTAAAGGAAGTCACCTGAGATTTCAGGTGTGGTGGAGTCAAGGTCCAAACCCACCCCTGACCTTGAAGGCCTCTCCTTTCAGCTTCATCAAGCACTCTACTTCCTGCCTCCCCTAGGTAAACTGAGTCCCAGCGAGGTAAGCTGATTTGTGCAGCCACACAAAGGATGCCTAGAGCCCAGCCAACTTGGCCAGAGCACAGCCATAACCTGAGCCAGCCAGAGCCCCTGGGAAGGCCATCTGGTGCAGTCTCCCACTTGGAAGAAACTGAGGCTCTGACTGAGTCCTGGGATTTGGGGTCATTCTTCAGCTTCACAGTCTATTTTACTTAAGACATTTGATTCTGGGAGAAGGAATGAGGGGAGTCTGCAAGTGAGTGAGTGTGTGTGGACATGTGTGTGGCACAGGAGGGGATGTGCACGTGTGCACGAGCGGTTTGTGTGCACTGTGTGTATGCTGTGTGTATGTACATGCATGCTGTGTGATATTTGTGTGGTGTGTGTGTGTGACATGTCTATAGAGTGTTTGGCGTGTGTATGGTATGTGATGTGTTTGAGGTGAATGTGATGGGATGTGTTATATGGGAGGGGGTTGTGAATGTGTTCTGGACACTTTATATATTCTATGTATATGGTATAAAGGGTGTTGACTGCAATGTATTGTTATGGTGCTATGCACATATATGGTGTGTATGTTTCGATGTAGCATGATGTATATGTTGTTCTTGCTGTGTGGTGTGCACACAGTGCCTAGGTATAGAATTTATAGTATGGTGGTGTGTTGTATGTGTTATATGGCATATGTAAGTACATACACGTGAGAATAGATGTAAGGGCAAGGTGGTACTTGGGTGCAGGGTAAGGTGTCGCCATTGATGGGGACAGAAGGGCTACTTATGGAAAGCTATTTGAGCTCCTTGCTGGGCCTAGAGCCAGGTCCTGGAGCCCTGAGCAAACAGTACAGTTCGATTAGCCGCCTTCTCCACCCACCAGGAGTCACTGGGTTCAGTCTGGGTGGGGGGAAGGCACTAGGATCCAAACCTTGAACCCAGGACCTTTGTGCCCATTAAACCAAGTGTTTGCCTGCTGACCAACCCCACTTGCTCTGTCTTATTCCGCCCCAGGAAAAGACCCCAGTTTAATCCCCAGTCGGGGAGAGGACAAGGCAATGTGGTGTGTGTCATGCTGGGAAGGGCACCTACAGGAAGACCAGAGGAAGGCATTTTCTTTCTCTTCCTCAACTTCCTCCACCTGGCGCTACCTTTGCCCAGGCCAGCTGCAGATGGAGAATGGAGAACAGACTCAACATGGCGTGGAGTCCTACAAGGGACTCTCCGGAAGCAGTCTTCTGACATCACTGCTGCCTGTGTCCTTAGACCCCACAGCATGGACTTCAGACAGAGGGAAAAGGGGGGCCTGGGGTAGTGGCACTACTCCAGGTCTAATGAGGCTTCACATTGTCTGCCAGCCTCACGTCTGAAGGCTCTGTCCCCCGTGCCTCCAGAACAGCTGGTTCATGGGGAGAGAGAGACACCCTGAGAATGGAGGGCAAACCCCACTCCCCACATGCAGAGCAGGTGTTAGTCAAGGCGTCCTGAGCACAGGAGCAGGAGTGTCCACACACACAGGAGGCTGTCAGGCTTGGGTCCCATGGCAGCCTGTCCCAGGGCTGGCCTCAGCTTGGAAGATGCCATGGCACCCCCTCCAACTTCTCTGTTCTTACTTAAATCTGAGAAATGATGCCTCGACATCACCGTCCCTCTCAGTGCTCCCAGCTGTAATGGTGTCAGCCTGCAATTTAGTGGCTGACCTCCCCTGTACCTGCCCACATGGCAGTGTCTGTCAGGCTTTGGAGAGAGCTGGAAGGGTCAGGACCCAGGGGTGGAGCAGCTCCAGAGGGATCCACTTGGAGGGCTGCGCACAGGCTGACATGCACGGGAGCAACTCCTTCTAGCCTGATCTTCCTGCTCAGGCTGAGCCTGGAACTCTGAGCACCTGTGAGGTCCTCAGGAGTCAGCTGAGGGGCCCTCCCAGTGGGTCCGGTGGCAGTGGGCAAGATGCTAGTGTGGGCCCAGACCAGTGCCCGTAGGAATGATGGGGATGCAGCCTTGGTGTGGGGCACGGGAGCTGAGAGATGCTGATTTCTGCACTTGGGTGGGGTTGCTGGACCTGGGCATTATGGACATGGAACAAACCCTTCTCTTTTACTGGGTCCAGCGTTGGCATTCTCAGTGCCTCTCTTTCTCCTCAGCTGCAACAATAAAAACTCTAGTTAATTTTCCACTGTCCCAAGTGGAAAAATTGTCCTCCATTGAGGACCAATGAATTGGGTCAGAAAAATTAGATACACATTTTTTTCTGGCTTTTTCTCTCTCTGTTCTGTGCTTCCCTAATTTTTCATCTTTCACTGTCTCTATTATTCCGCAATGCTGCCTCTACTATCTTGGTCTTGGACTCTGTGTTTGTGTGTCTGTGTATACACAAGGTATGTGAATGCTTGAGTGATGTGTTTTGTATGTATATGTAGCATGCATCTGTGCTATATGTACTGTGTGTTCCTGAGGATGAGTACTGTATATTTTATGATATGTGAAATGTGTGCTTATGGGAGAAATGAGGCATTTGTGGGGTGTAGGGAATGTGCATGTGTTGTATCCTGTGTCTGTGTGGGTAGAATGTGCAGTGTGTGTTGTATGTATAGTCTGTGGAACTGTTGTGTCCTGTGTTTTGTGCATGTGATGTTGTATGTGGTACTGTGAAATGTGTATGTAGTACATGTGTATTCCCTAGGTGTTATGTGGTGTGTGCATGTGGATCATTTCTGTGGTGTGTTTTGTGTACTTTGTGTGTGATGTGTTCTCTGCTGTGGTCTACATGCATATTTAGTGTGCGTGGTACTGTGTGTTATGTGCATGTTTGTATGTGATGTGAATATTTTGTGTGTATTTTAATGGTGTTGTAGGTTATGTGAATGTGTGGTGTATGTTGTATTGTGGTGTGTAGTTATGCATGTTGTGAGTGATGTATATATAGTTTGTATGGAAACATATGGACTATGGAGTGCATGTGTATATTTGGTGTCATGCTGTGTTTGTCATGTGTGGTACATGGATATGCATGTGTTGTGTGCACAGCACTGTGTCATGTATGCTGCATCATGTATCTGCTGTGTGCAGACACCTGTGTCTAGGACTAGGAGTGGTCCTTGGAGCCCTGGATTTCTTGATTCCTGTTTCCCTTAGTCTGTCTCTTCCTCTATCTGTGGTTGGAGGCTGCCCTCTGTCGCTCACCCTTGTGGCTCTCCTGGTGTTGTCCCCTCTGCTCTGGGATAAGGAGCTGGTGGACAGGAGGCCAAGGGGTTACAAGGATGGAAGTGATTAGGGCAGAGCCCGTGCTCACTCAGCGTGGAGTTTGGCCCAGTTACTAGGTTCACGAGCCTGGGTGCCAGCTCACACAGCCTGACGAGGAGCCGCAGGTCAGCAGGGGAGGCACACAGCAGGGCGCTGTGCCGCAGGGCCTGAGAGCTGTGCTAGCTCCAGTGTTCCCTACACATCTCTGTTTGGAAGCCATTTTGTGCTGAGTCCTCAAGGTCCTTTTCCACTCAAACATTCTATGATTCTGGAGAAGTGGGAGTCACGTGGGGCTCCGTGTGTACACAATGTCCCTTCAGCTTTCCCAGGAGAGGAGGCCTAAATTGTTGCAGAACCTTCATGCATTTGTCTCCCAAATGTGCTTTGGTCCCTACTCATCCCAGGAGCAGCTGCTGCTCTTCCCTGTGCTCCAAGCCTCATTCCCTGCACCCTCTGTCCACACTGCTGTAAGCCTCACAGCACCAGACACCTTGAGGAGCTCAGACAGTAAAAGGGCCCACAGGAAGACAGAGGAGAGACCAAGATGGTGCTGCACAGGGGCGTGGCAGGGCAGAGGCTATGACGAAAGCCACATTAAGTGAGTTCCACCTCAGGCAAAGGCACACTGTTCACAGGGGTGGG